AGCATCCCAGCGTCAAAACATACCTAACCAGCATATGCTGGTTTTTTCAACAGGGTAATGTAATATCCTGAACAATAGCATCCACCTAAAAAGTTAACTTTTAATGAACTTTTGGGAAATGTCTTCATTATGACTCGATCCGTTGTGACTTCTAGCACTTTGTACAGTTAAAGTCAAATCAATCCAAAACAGACCCTCACTTTTGCTTTAGAAAAAGATGTGAATTAATTTGGCACTGCAGGCTTATTAAATTGAGTTAACGCGATTGTTCTAACGCTGTTATGTTAAACAGGACGTAATTCAAAAATGTACCATGGTATCAAAATAACATACCATCATATTTAGGGGAAATAATGTAATAATAATAATTGCAATATTTGTTTCTTCCCCCATTTTTCACAGTCTATACACAGTATGTCCCAAACGTAGTTGGATACTAAAACCACATTTCTGAATCTCATTGAATTACACATAAAATATAAAAGCAATTTTATACAAATTTGCAAACAAATCGTGTTTAGAACTAACATAATTTATTTGAGCTATTTTTTTTTTCAGTTACACTTAATCAAAACTGGGTTAATATGGAGCAAAATATAGAATGAGAGGTGGAATGGGATTTTTTATTTGAAAGTCATATTTGCATGTCGATTTATCGATGCATTTTTTTCTAACTTGATTTGAAAAACACATCCTGAAATATAATCAGGGATATTATTTCCTGTTACTCCTTGTTTTATCACTGGAAATTAAGCTTTTATGAAATATTACTTTAGAAAAGTGCTCTATTTCCACTAAAAATGCCTCGTGCGTTTATTTTTGATAGCTCCATTTTAAGGGTTTAGGGCTTCTACATTTGTATGAAAACGGACCACAACATATTTACATATTAGTTTTATATAATGCTGAAGGTAATACAAGAAGTCAGAATGTTATAATTTATTCTACAAGAATAAATTATTATAATAACTAATAGGCCATATAGCCTATTAGTTATTATAATACTCAAAATAATTAGTACTCTGAATATTATAATAACTAATAGGCTATATGGGGGGAACCTATAGTTACCTTTGTAAAATGCAGACCTCCGATCAATGATGGATCTTGTCATATGCGTTTCTCCACACCTTCATTTCGTTTCTAATGGAAATGTTTCAGAAAACACGTTGAAAAATCCCATAACAATCCACCTGACAAAGCACGAAACAAACACCTGAGGGAAATTATGGAAACATTTTCATGCCATTGTTAAAATGAATAAAGTTTTTGAGTCAGACCAGAGCATATTTCTTAAAATCTGCTATATGACTTTATAGAAATAATAGCCTACTTGAAATTACAACACAAGCATAGGCTATTAATTATACGTTTGAACGGTGCTTTATTTCAGGATTTATCCTGTTTTCCCATTTCATCTGTCTCCTCTTTTTCTATTTTCCCAGAGAGTGTGAAATGAAGTTGAATAAGTTTGCTCGGGGTGACTGCTCTTGGCAGGAAAGCGGTATTTTTTATTCAGCAAGTTGAGGCGATAAGAGGGGAAGTGTGATTATGATAGCGATCGGTCACGCGTCGATACTCAGTCTCCCCCGCGCGCGCAACGCGATACTGTCGCCCGGCGCGCGGGGCTCTCTCACATCAGCCATCGATCGCGCGCGCGCGGTAACTCGAGACGCCGCAGTTTGTTTCCAAGCAGCTCCGCAGCCGCGAGATCAGGTGCGCACTGGGCAGCCAAAGGGTGACAGGACAGTCATGATGCACAAACTGCGCTTGAACTGTGCGGTCGCCCTTTGGCTGCCCCTATATGTCTCTCAGTCTGTTTGTGCGCACACCACATTAGTGACCTGGCTCATTCCTATTATAAACTCTGAAATGTAAAAATAGACGTATTTGTGTTTAGAGTTATTATAGTTAACTAAAACCATCAAATATTGTTGTTACTTGAAATAGGCTACAATAGACTTTAACTGAAATAAAATAAACAAATTTTAATTTCATTTATTTTCAAATGAAATTAATTTCATTTTCATTTAGTTCATTTTGATGTATAGCCTACTAAAATAACTCAGACTAAAACTGAAATAAAAATGTATGAAAACCATATAGGCATATTTAAAAAAAAACAAAAAAAACAATAAACTATATTATCTCAACAACACTAAAAAAAAACTCTGCTTGTGTTGTTGGAAATATTTCTATAAAAGTGTACTCCATTTTGAGAAATATAATTAATTAACACTTTATTATTTGCCTGGATGGGAAATAAACAATATACATAACATGATAAAAGTGGAGAATTAGCCATTGCTGAGTACGTGGTTTTAGGTGACAACCGATTGTAATTTTATATTTTCTTAACCATCTTTAGACATTTTGATTTTCTCATACTGATTTCTGTAAATGTAATCAAACAGGATGAGATGTTTTAGACCGCCACAAACCAGCTAACACCACAAAACATCACAGAATTCATCACAACCATTGCTCAGGGTACAGGGTAGAAAGTGATCTTGAGAGAAAAACATCACAAATTAAAATAATATTTCCAAACACGTTCTGTTTAAAACATTGTTTTTAGAAAGAAAATATTTCTTAAAATGGTCAGTTTTTCAACACCATAGCGCCCAGAAAAAGAAAGAAAGAAAGAAAGAAAAAGATAATAAATACCGTTTTTTCTGAGCAGGGATATGGCCAGTTGCTCAAACTGAAGTATTTATTTAATTATTTAAAATTTATTTTAATACGATAATATTAAGCAAACCAATCCTTAAAAGGTTTGACATTTATGTTTAACATTTTATCCAGTATATTAAAATATATGGGGACAAATATCATAATAGAGCAAACAGACCTTATAAATATATGTGTGTATGTATGTATGTGTGTATATGTATGTATGTGTGTGTATATGTGTGTGTGTATGTGTATATGTGTGTGTATGTGTATATGTGTGTGTGTGTGTTAAAAAAAAAAAAAATACGATTTGTTTTTTAGAAGCTGAACCATGTTATTTCAATTATGAGTTGAATCTAATGTGGGGTGAAGAAGCTCTTGTCTTGTTGCAATAAATGATAATAGGACTGTCTATGCTGTCTAATCACAGCACATTTGAATATAACAACTGGTTTAAATAGTTTTTTACTGTGTTTCTTCACATTTGTTTTTTTTTAACAGCTTCAGTTTCTTTCTTTACATCTGTTTCAGTTTCTTTTATATATATATATATATTTCATGTCTCATATTAGCTACACATTCAACAACACTCAACTTGCAGACAGTGAATAGTGCAGAGAGACACTAATGATATAACCAGAACAAAATTGGAAATATAACAGATAAAACTTTTCTGGGTCATTTTAGTGGCATTTTGTCCACGAGCCCAAGTTAATTTCTTGGCTTCGCTGATATCTCCTGTCCTGGTAGGAACAATACTATATATGTACTTACATCCCCATCTAGTGGTACACATGATACATGGCTTACTGTTAATGTACAGCCAAAGAGTGTCCACTAGGTGACGTAATATAACTATCATTTAAATTGGTCATGAATTTGAAAATGACTTGGTACATTTTTTTTTTCTAAGGAGAAGAATAAAACAGACTGATTTTCTGTTTGATCTACACATGTCAAGAGACTGCAGATTGCTCATATTTGTTACTGTTTATAAGCTGGGTCAGTGTTGTTTGGCCTCTGTCCAGAATGCCTTCAGAAATTCTTTAGAATATCCTGCACATGCACAGTATTCTCCCGATGGTGTTTTATGCTGTTATGCATCACTCTGTTTGTCATGATTCTGGAAGAGTGTAAAGAATGTTATAGGCCACAGAGTCCGAAGCGCTATCCCGTGAAACTGTGCCATGCAAGCAGAGCCAGAATGGGAGCTTGTAAAAGTGGCTCAATGGAGGAGGGGTGAGCCTAAAATTACAACTCACTAGTTTCCTTTTAGATAAGACGCTTAATCAAAGCAGTCAGATGCGTATAATTCACGTTACACATGCACAAACACACACTACAAAAGGGCTTTTGATAGTTGTACATCTGTTTCTTTTCTCATGTGTTCTCCTCTGAACCAAAATGACACGCCTGACAGGATGAAAATCTGATTATGTAATTATCAAAGGCTTACATAATTACTTCAGATTTTTATTTATTTTAAATCATGTCTGTGAGTGATGTAAACTGCCTTCTGCGGGATTATAGATGGTTTCGTATTTGTCAGACATATCCATATCTACTCTGGCATTTGATTTAGAAGGTTTTTAATAGACTTCCAGACATGAGACGAACTATTTGTGTATGTGTGTGAGAGCGAGCGAGACAGCCAACAGACAGTACGGTCGGTGGCAGATGTGACACACATGTTTGGATGTTTTACATCTATCCAAAGAAATGCCAGTAAACAAGGTGATATTTGATCATCACATATGCAAGCTATTTCTCTCAATTTTCCTTTTTTAATTTAAATTACTTGTGTGTGGACACATATTGTCACTTTAAAGATGACCATTTTGAACTTGGCCTATATATTACAAACAGATAGACAGACCGATAGATAGATAGATAGATAGATAGATAGATATATAGATAGCATGGCAACATTATATTGTGCAGTATGAAAATGGATATTCATTTTAAGATTTGCTGAAGATTTAAGTGTTTTAAAAATTATTCGTTTTTTGAAAGATACATCATCTACCGTTTATTTAATTATAAACACTTAAATATTCAGTATTCGCGGATTTAGATACATTAAAAAGTATTACTATGGAATAGACTAACATTTTATTGAATTACCACGGTACTTTTTGAAAAACAACACACTCTGGCATAGGCTACAATAAACATGTCACGTGGGCATTGTAAGTATATAAAATTGGGCTATATATAAAACAAACATGTAATGTACACAACACATATAAAGATGGGAGATTATATTAAAAACTTTTCAGTCAGAACTAGTATAACTCGTTGTCATTTCCATCAGCAGTTTAATTTGTAAGTGGAATTATGGAGCTCGGCCGCTAGGGAGTGGATGAGTACATTTCTCTGCCTGTTTTTCAGCTCGGGAGGGGAAGACAGACAGGAATGAAAGCTTTTCCTCAGAGTTGAGGAGCAGGTTGGGCTTTCGGTCGCGAATGAACGATAACAGACCGACCGGCGAACAAGAGGAGTTTATCGAAAACCGCTTCCATACTTTACAAACAGCCGCGCGAATGGAGACGAGGGCATGAGGCGGAATATGTGTAGACTTTGTTTGGAGCGAGACATGAGTCTAGGATACTGATTGGAGTTGACACAAGCCCAGCTCCAGTAGCAACTCTATCCATACTTCACCTCCAACCCCCTCCTTCACTCCGCAACCAGGAAATCATCGTGCTGTGCTGCTTATCCTTCTTCCCACAGATTAAACAAAAACGCCAAACCCCTCCGTGGGTTCATCCATGAGGATCTCGTCGGTTTCTCTTGTGTTTTCGCCTCTGGAAGTTCGGCTTTACGTCTGAAGAGGATCCGCGCTATCGTCGAACAATGAGGTAAAGCACATCAAAGCACATTTGTTGCCGTCGCTGTTGTGTGTACTTAGTTTAGCGCGCTACAATGTAACACACATAGTGTTGATAATGACCGAGGCCGCATGTGTGAGTCCGGTTTGCTACTCACTTTCTGTTCTGTAACTCGCTCCTGTTGGAGGTGGGTCATCGCAGGAGCAAGTGTGTCCTTTCTGAGTGTTTACACACTGCAGTTCGTTCGGTTTGTCCGGCTTTGACAGCCAGAGAGTTATCGTGCTAGCTGGTGAATGAAGCTGCTGTGAACATTTATTAACAAATTTGCTCTGATTTTTCATGGAATACTTTGAATGAGTTTAAATTAAACGAACCATGCCACCAAAATGGGTGTCTGGAGAAGGTGATTTTTAGGCATTCTGTCAAACGAATGATGTCTTTAAATTGTTAATACATACATTTTTGCCATCTAAAGCGAAATGATTTTTAAACAAGTATTTGGGGATACACCTATCCTGTAAAAATATTTTTTTCTGTTCATTTTTAGCAATTAGCCTACTAGCCTTGTTCTCTAGCTACTTCTAGCACCATGTATTTATTAGAAAGAGAATATAATCCTGAGATTTCTTCAAATATTAATTTTTCATTGATTTATCGTTTATTGTACAAACTCATAGTGCAGGGTTGACTAAACACAATACTGTATATACTTAAATATTTACATATTTAATTTATTTGACATTTTTAATCATACAATTTTAAAAGAAATATTGGAAATATTATTTAGCTCTATAACAGGCTATTATTAATTGTACTTTTTTAATTTGAAAAAATAAATAAATAAACGTTTTTGGGGAATATATCGGTGAACCTATTTCAGCAGTAATTAATTTTCCCAAAACTGTGAACCGTTTGAAAGTGTTTTTAAAATATGGTGTGCAGATGTAATTTTTTTTAATAAAATCAAGAACTTTGTTATACAAAATACACAATTTAACAAACTAGTATCGATAACTGTATCCTCAGGCGGTACACACGAAGTTGTTTATTGTGCATGTTGAAAATGCAGCTGTCAAACTGTAAATTGGCTCTTTGTAACACGTAGCCAGTCCTCTTTTGTGAGCCCTCCCGGTTCTTTCTGGTCTGGGAGTTGGCCGCGGCGCGAATGCACAAATCCTACTGTGGGGAAGGCTTGGCTCATGAATATTAAGTATGTCACGGGACGTTCACCCAGTAGCGAACGTAAGGCTATTAATATTTATAAGCAAAGCCTTTACCATAGTAAGATTGTTAATTTGGCGGTCAGGGCTGTACCCGGAACTAACCTACATTTGCGCCATACATGGAGCACTGAAGCCTGATAATTCCACATCCTGCTGCGGCCACTTTTTGTTTAGTTTAGTTTAGTTTAAATCAAACAAATATACACCACTTTATTTTGCCAGAGGAGTCTGTGGTCAGAAACCACTAGTGAAATTTTCTGTTTTCGTTTCTAATTCATTATATAGGCTAATTAAAAACCCCTGAATTACATTATCAGTATAATCATAAAAAAAAAACATTTTCAGAATTTCATTTTTTTTGTAGGCTATTTAATTTGTCCACTTTTGCTTCAATAACAGCAAAAGTGGGTATTTTAAATACTGACAGCTGCTAAACCTGATGATTATGTTCTCCAGCATGATTTGAAATGTTTCAGAGTATCTTGTGCTTGAACGGATGCAAGAAAATCTGACCATCTGTACAAAGGAGTTAATGGTCTGTATATAATGTCACAAATTTGTTTATGTTTGAATAGTGTAGTCGTGTCTAGGTCCGAATCTTAAATATTTATTTTTCATTGAACTTCATGATTTTCTGTTTTATGTGTTCTTAAAACATAGTTTGTTGTTTGGTTTATGTAAAATTCTATAAAGTGGACATAGACACTGGGGTGTGCAACCATCCAGTTTTGTTTAAAGGAAGGGAAGCACCAACGCATCTTTAGAATTTAAAACACTAATTTTGCTATGTAAATAACAACAGTAACCTGCGTGATGGGTTTTCGTCAATTCGTCTCTTAGATCTGTCTCACACCAAAATAAAAATGTTTAAATAAGCAGATGCCCTGAAACCTCAGCTATGCATTTCCATGTAAATTTTAGTTTACGTGCAATGTTATCAGACAACATTGGTTATATGTTGCTTTTGTGACACATAGGAAATTTGGCACAGGGAGGACTGCTCGGTCCAAGCAAAGGGCGCCGGGGTCGGTGCCGACCACGCGTACAACCTTGAGTTTACTGTGTTGGGTCTGGTTGCATAATAGGTGAAGAATGGGATGTTGTCACATTTACAAGTTTATTGTCCTGTCATGTTGTGGAACGTCAATATCAGAATGCACTGGAGCGGTTAGCGCCTCATTTTGAATTTCACCAGGCCATCCAATGCAACAATGGCCTCTCAAACTGACTGGGAAGCCCAGTATTGAATTCATGGGAACCCAGGTTAAGTCACTGACCTCCAGTCCCTGGGTTAAAATTACAAAGGCAAAAAAAAAAAATCAAAGTTCTAGTGATATTCAAACACTATAAACAGTTCTCTTTTTTAAAAGGGAAGTATGCCATTTACTAGTGACTTAGAATGGATCAAACCGTGTGTTATCTCTTAAATCAATTTTTTAAATAATTTTCAAAGTTTTAAATTCCTTGTTTTATTGTTGTGATTATTGTTTTTATTTTATTTTATGTAAAGCACTTTGAATTACCATTGTGTATGAAATGTGTTAAAAAATAAAAAAATGGAGTTAACGGTTTTTGCAAATGAACTCTTCATATATTATTATATATTATAATTTTTTGGGCAAAGTTTTCTATTGTGTGATATTCCTTAAAAAATAATGTTTTAATAAACATTATTATATTATTACTTTGAGAAATACATTCTACTGTACACTAGTAGTGTGTTTCTGTCATAATTTCCTTGTGGTTTAATATTCACAGACACTGGTTCATAGGGCCCTAACTATTGCTTTACCATTTATACCGCAGGATATATATTTGCACGACTATTAGTGGTGCGGACAGCTTTATGATATTAACACATTAAGTGACGCAGAAACATTGAGTAATGTGAAAATATAAAGTGGGACACGTCCCAAACAAATCAAGATGAGGAAGAACCTGTTATTTTAGGGGTTGAGTGTAGTTGTTATGGCGTGAGTTTGGGGCAGGACTGTCTGTTTTGTCTGAGCAATGAAAGACACATTATTGAAATGGAAAATATCTTTTTTTTTTTTTTCGCAGTTGTGGTTGGTGCCCCTAGTGGAACCGAAATGACACCCTTCAACTTGCAAACACAAGCGCACAGGTGGTTCGCATGCAGCTGGCTTTCCACACTTGCTGTGTAATCAGTCCAGTTTGTTCCTGTGCGTATTTCTGTCACTGAGACACAGCCTGTCGTCCTGGAAGTGCATGTCTGATTAATGGCAGCGCTGTGATTCACTGCTGTTATCAGACTGATGACTGTGAGGGACTCGCCCAGCATGTCTTTATCTAAATGACTTCCACTCAAGTGCTTCTCCAGGCTAAAGGGCTTTAGGGTGGCACTGGTGGCTTCGCGACCCATGCCAGATGCTGCAGTGCGGTCCTTCTGCTGCTGGTATTTAATTTCTTATGATCCTGGGTGGTTACAGACCATTAGATATCGAAATGATAGAGGAGAACAAAAGCCTCAATTAAAATGGGGTTTTCAATGGCTGATAACGATATCTAGAGAGCAGAGACTGACTGATGGGTGATAAAATGGAGAGATATATTAGTGAATAACAGATTTTTATGTATAAAAGATCGGGAATATAGTGTAGGACACAGACTGGGCTGCTGTGGGAAAAGTGTACAATTCAAGTTACCCTAAACATGAGAATGCTGCTTTTATATCTAGTACTTCAAATAAAAGCATATAGGCCCAGTTTCACAGACTTAAACCAGGACTAGGCATTAGTTAAATTAGGCTATTTAAGCAGTTTTTATAAAAATACCGTAGAAATAAACATTACTGATGTGCATCTTGAGACCAAACAATATGTTAGTGTTTGAATTTTATAAAATGTGCTGCTGATATTCTGCGTTATAAATGGTACAGCAGAGTCTTCACCAGTTGAGATATAATCTTTACCAGTGTGGCTTATAAGAAGGTGCATTTGTTGTTTGATATGAATACCTCAGATCAGGTTCAATTTGATTAATGCAAAACCTTAATGCTTTTAAGAACACAATGAACTATAGTGCTGGATAAAAGCAGAGCATTAAGATGAAGGCTGAGATAGAATTGTAAAATGGCAATAGAATATTGTATTGCTACGTTATATTGATGAGGGTTGTATGGAAAAACAAATGAATCAAGGAATTTTTGGATAAACAACAAGAAAGAAACCAGGGGTACACCACAATTGTATGGATTCAGTTTTTTTTCCCCCATCGATAAAGAAACAAGCTCATCTAGGGCTGCACGATTAATTGAATGCGATTGTCATGCGCATTTTGTTAAAAAAGCCAGTCATCTACATATGGGATGGCCTGAGGGAGAGTACATTTTTAGGAAATTTTCATTTTTGGGTGAACTATTCCTTTAATGGAGAAAAAACAGTTTAATTGGTAAACTCCAGCTGATGACGGATGATATGTAGACATAAATGACCTCACGTTTAAAGTTGTTCTCTCCTCACAGCTATGGCTTGTGGGAAGGGGTTAGCTTGAGGTCAAATACTGCATATCATTTGGTCTTCATCAACCCTAAGTGGTCATCACTGAATGTAAATCTTTGTTGAAGTACATTTACAGGAATTAGTCACTGCCAAGAAAGACCATTAAAGGGGACATGGACCTTAGGATAAGCAAAAAGACGATGATGTTGAATGCTAGATTCTGATTAACTGACAGACTGACTTGAGCTGAATAATGACACATTTGTCTTCTGTGGAGCTGGTTTTATAGCTGAAATTGAAATAGTTTTATAATGATGACCGTTAACACTGTTATTTTCCTTTTATT